AGGCACTATATCACCAGAGCTCCTAGAGACATTGTAGCAGACTATAAAAGGAAAAACAAAATCAGGAAATCTGGGCTTTGCTACTAGTCTTCTGACCTCTTTATTTTGGTCCTACTTTCTTGGCTATAAAATGAGAGTTTTAATGAGAATAATAATTGCTAAATTCCCTTCGTGCAACAAAAGTCTACCATTTGATGTTGCATTTCAAAGTATTAAATACCTAAGAAGCAAAAATCTTTTTAGAGTTAGCTAATTTGATGTTAAATGGGGTATTAAACTTCAAAAAACACCACTTCTACAATATTTTTTAAATGCAAAATAGAAAAAGAAAAAATAACCTATTAAAGTTCCCTCATAACCAAAACCCACATTCTCTAATCAAACATGTTACAGCAAGAGCAAAGTCAAACAACTTTAATTTTCTAATTCTGGAAATAGTCCCTGAGAAATAGAGAATAAGTTAATTATAATATTGTTCAATATTATATTGAACATAATACAGTAAAAGAATACACAAAGACATGCTGTATTATACAATACAAAATATCTGTCCAATCAATATGTAACTACCACATACGGCATACCTGTATACTTCAGGATACAGCTGCTTACAAGAAAAAATAGTAGGAACAATGTAACTTACAACTGCTTAAAACATATCCTATCAATAGTAGTCAGTATCATCATCTTCACATACAAAAGTTAATACATTAGGATACTTACTGATATTATGAATAAATACAGTAGGAACAATGTTGAATAGATAGCAAGTACAAAAATGCAAATTGGAGTCTACAGGGCACCCAACTGCATTTAATGTAAATTCTCTTCAGGTAAATTTCAAAGAGACATCTACTAACAACACAAAGGAAATAAAAATTTTTTATTACAGAAGAGAATGTATGAAAATGGTAATAAAAACTAATAATATATAAAGAAGAAAATGTTGCAGTTGGTTTTGTTGCTATTTGGGGTGCTGAGTTTTTTTGGTTTTGTTTTAGTGACAATTTAGTGACAAATAGAATTTTGCTATATTTAGAAACAAATAATCTCAACACTTGGGAACTTGATCTCAGCCAGCCATTGTAATGTCCTTCAACAATTTGTAAAGTATGAAAATACATTCACTGTAAGTCTATCCTTTTTAAGTTTTAAAATAGATGTTATTCTAAGATTCACTTAACTTTTAAAGGGAGTACAGATTTTATTGTAAATTCTCCCACTTGGTAAGAGAATGCCCCAAATAATTTGAGACCATGACAAAATATTTCAGCTGACTTCAAAGAGAAGACGATACCATTTTAGAAGTTACAAGAAAAGATGGACTGTACTATCCTGTTTAGATACGTCAGGCAACACCTATGCTTCGTGTCTATGTGAGACCAAAAAGACCAACCTTCTTTCCACCACGCAATCACATTAAGTTTGATCTTTGAAAGGAAACTGAAGCTATGGAAGAGTCTACTCCTCTTTGTGAACCTGAGCACAATCATTTTGTGGGAGTTATAGGACCATGGCTAGAAAGGCCAATTGGGGGAGAATTTAAAAAACAATCTAGATGGAATACATGAAGACTTCTTTTTCTAAGGGCACTGTGTTAGACTGGGTTCTCTAGAGAAACAAAACCAGTAAAGTTTATATATATGTATATAAGAGAGAAATTTATCTTAGGAAAATGGCTCACACACTTAGAGAAGCTGGCAAGTCCAAAGTTCCTGGATCAAACGTCAAGCTGGAGGCTTTTCCTGGCTCATGCAGCCACATAGGCTGAGGAGCTCAAGGCTGGCAGGCAGTATACCAGCTGTGGACCCCAACGAATGATGAACCCAAGATCTCCAGGCCGAATGGTGGATTGTTCACTCTCGAACAGTTGTAGGCAGCACAACAGAATCCCAATCCACAGAAGACTCTCTTCTCCCAGGATGTCCAGAGATATATTGGAAGCAGGCCACACCCCCAGGAAAACTCCCCCTTAATAGATTGGCCACTCAAAACACAATCATCTGATCCCATCATGGGAACAACCACATCACAACAGCCCAAACCACACAGAATTGTGTCCAGCCAAGTTGACACACAGCTCCAACCATCACAGGCACACTGTATGAAGAGTAAATGCTTTCAGTATATGTCTTAAAGTGAATAATAGTAGCCCTTAGTACTCCCCATACTTAACAGTGTCATAGGCATAGAATAATGGGAAATGAAATGAAACAGGAATCAAGAGACTGGGAGAATGGTTGTACAGTGAATTGCTTGATGTGGCCCTTCTAGCCATTGTCCTCCATTCTGTGATGTTTTGTAAATCTCATTATCCATGCCTATCTGGGGTGGTGTGGTAGTTAAGGTCAGGTATCAACTTGGCTGGGCAGCTGGTAGTAGTCATTCCCTATAATGACTGGAAATGACTCTGTGAT